CTAGCTCCATGTGACTTTGGTGAGATAGTATCTTGGTCTCTAAGACACCTTATGCAACTTTCCCTCAATAAAGACACGACCAAAGATGTGTCCCCAGGAAGAGATTCCCAGAACACAAGCAAGATCCCCAAAAACAGACAAATGACAAAAGGTTAGTGGTTACAACCCACCCAGTGGTACCTCCGAAGAAAGGTATAGCTATTTACTTCCATGAGATGACAGGGGTGAAAACACTGTGCGGCAAAGTTATCTTCGGAAGCACACGGGATCATTATGAATTGCAATCGGCTCTATGGCACTGGGTTTAATTTGATTTTAGTTGATATGAATAAATGAATCCCAAAAGAAAAAGAGAAGCTGGGAGGGTGCAGTGTAGAAGGAGGGGGAATAACGCTCTTACAGAGGTGACATTTGAGTGACCAGACCAAAAGCCAACTCCATTGCCATTGCGTGGATTTCAACTCATAGCAACCTTGTCAGGCAGAGTAGAACTGCCTCATAGGGTTTCCAATGACAAAACCTTTACAGAAGCACCTCTTTCTCCCATGGAGTGAGTGGGGGGCTCTGAACTACAGGCCTTTCCGTTAGCAGGCAAGCACTTTACCACTCTGACCCCAAGGTCTCTTTGTTTGAATTATGTCTGAAAGAAAAACAGCAGCCATGCACAGACCATAAGACCATTTGTGTCTTATAGTAGCCTATGACTTGAGAGAAAGAGCTACTACTGTTCTCAGTTTGAAGTTGAAGAATATGAAGGCCAGAGAATTTAAAGAATCCACCCAAAGTCTCTCAACAAATAAAATTGTGATGTAAGTCCACAGCTTTACATAGAGATCAAAGAGTCTTCCTGAAGTGACTCACTCAAGGTCATAGAGTTAGAGGCAGTTGTTAGCTGACTTTGAGTCAGCCCCAACTTAATGGCAGCACCGCGTACAATGGAATGGAACACTGCCTGATCCTATACCATCTCCCTGATCTTAAGTATGCTCAAATCCATTGTTGCAGCCACTACGTATTTTTAATGCTACTCCCATAAAAAGTGAATCTCAGAAACCCACAGGGGCAGGTGTACCTGCCTGGTGGCTGTGAGTCGGCATCGACTTGGTGGCAGTGTTTGATTTTGGCTTTCCAACATAGGGGGTTTGTCTTCCAGCACAGATTCAGGCAATATTCTATATGATCCATAGATTTTCATAGGCTAATTTTTTTCCTTTTTTTAAAATTAAATAATCATTTTATTAAGGGCTCATACAATTCATCACAATCTATACATACGTCATTTGTGTCCAGCACATTAGCACATACGTTGACTTCATCATTCTTATGACACCCGCCCTCCACTTGAACCCTTGGTGTCAGCTCATTTCCCCCTCCCTCCCCACTCCCCCC